GGGGCTTTGGCTCGCTCTTCTCTCCCTCTCCTCCAAAGCCCTCTTGGGGCCGCCATTGCGCCTTTGGGCTCATCACAGCCCTGCCAGGCGGGCCAGGCGGGGAGGGAGGCTTGGCGGCTCCGCTGAACCCTGCCGCGGTGGTCTGCCAACCTTAACGTGTGCCTTGGCGCATGATTGGGCATGTTCAGCCGATTGGACCATGTGGGCATCCAGCCAAGTGGGGTTTGGTAGGCCTGGGCGTGCGTGCGAACCCAGATATCGTGGTTTATGGCCTAAGGCGATGTGCGAACAAAGCTTGATGGCTTGGGGCTTAATGCGTTGTGGGAATGGAGAAAGAGAAGGAGCACCGTAAATGTAAGTCTTCCGCTGGATGGTTTACAAAACATGCTCAGCCTGGTTAATAGTGGACAAGTGCTGCGTTTACTTAAAATTTCTGTACTTAACCCAGTGAGCTGGGGTTACTGGGGCTTTGTGTGATTGCTGTCCCGATTATCCTAATTCGGACACGTTTCCCAGCATCTGAAGAAGGCTCTGATGCTGGGAAAAGTGGAAGGAAAGAGAAGCAGAGGACGACAAAGCAAAGCAAAGTGGGTGGACTCTGATAGTGGCAAGGGGGGCACCAATGGAAGACCTGAAGGACCAGGTTACAGACAGATTGTCATGGAGAAAATGTAAGAGTTGACAACAAATTGATGGTACGTAATCATCAATCATTTTTCACAAAATGTCGTAGGACAATGGCTCACTTTCCCAAAACATGCTGCACCACAAACTATTCAGTCCCTGCCTAATTTTAGCCTGGCAGGCATGTTGTGTGTACTAAGACAACTGTGGTTGTACTGTAGCTCCCAGAATACAGAGAAAGCAGTTGTTGAACAATTTACAACACCTTGTTGACCCAATACCCCCCCTCCAAATGATGTCATTCTGATTGTAGAAGTCTGGAATGCTAAAGCTGGAATTAAAACAGCATCTTGGAATAACAGAAAGCTTTGGCCTGGGGGCATGAAGCAGGACTAATAGCAAGTGCATTCTTCCAACAACCTAAACAATGGTATCAAGTGGACATCAGTGAAATCAAGTTGGCTAGATTCTTGCAACCAAAGGAGCGTTAGCAAAAGCAAGATCTGGTACTAACTGTAGCTCAAATTACAGACTGCATTCCAAAATTAAAACTAAAATATTTACAGCTATACTTGTTAACAACATCGTTTGACTTGAAAATGACTAGCAGCATTTTCAGCTTCTGAGATACCTGAGATACTAGAACAACTAGTTAAATCCTTTAAAACTAAAAAAACTACTGTTAGGTTATATAAATATTTGTTATCAATAAATCAGTTTTAGACGATTTATTGACTAAAGACGAAGAGGATGAGGCTGGCCCCTCCCTAGAGTCTCACAGGGTATATCCACTAGTTGCTTTGGCATAGGGTGAGTCTGACGAGATCGATGTCAGGCTCAGCCCAAGAACAACCACAAGGCAATCCAGTACAGTTCAGTTCCTTTATTAGCTGGCACCTAATAGATAGAATCTCGCCAGACTAAACCTATGCTAAAGCAACTAGTGGCTATACCCCGTGAGACTCCAGGGAGGGGCCAGCCTCATCCTCTTCGTCTTCCCACACGCTTGTTGCTGGCTGAGGAGGCGCTTGCTCTGGAATGTCTCTCCCCCCTCCTGACAACCTCGAACTTCCATTCCAGAATCCTCCCCACTCATGCCATCCATTACAACCATATCAATATGATTGTGCAAGAAAAGCTAAAATTTTCAGAGGATAATATTCTTTTAAACTATATACCTAGTACGTGGAATTTGACAAGTGGACAATGTAAATGGGATTCTCCGTGCCCCTATGTCAAAAGACTGATATTGCAGCATTGGAAAGATAAATGTATGGCCCCATTTATTCAATGGATT